GGCGCGCGCGCGCCGCCGCCGCGGGCGAGCGGCGCCGCGCCGCTGCCGCCGTCGATGAGAGCCTCACGACGGCGCGGAGGCGCAGGGGCTGCCCCGACGACGCCGCGCTCCGGAACCCGTAGCAGCCTCGCAGACGCCCGCGCTGCCGGCGCTGGCGCAGGGCAGTGACGCCACACCTTCGTAGGCGCGTTGAGACAAGAAACGACTGCAACGCACCGCACACTGGCGCGTCGCGCAGCCGACAGCGCAGGTGGCAGGAGCTTGCTCATGAGGCCAAGGTCCAACGCAATCCACACGGCACTTGGGTAGAGTTTACGCGGCCTTAAAACGTGGTAGTCTTCACTCTCCTGCTACCATCGTGTGGCTGGGAGTGGGTGACACCGGGTGACACGGATACGCGGGAACATTAAATAGCTCCCTTATTCAAGAGCAGCTCGACGCGGCTGAGCGGCTCCGTGCATCGACCGTGCAGCCGACGTTGAGACTTGCCGCCGCGCGATGGCAGACGGGGCGGACCTCCCATCTTCCGGCCAGCGGGTCTACCTCAGTCTGACCCGAAGCTGCTGAACTGCCTCTCGCTGGAACTCGTTTCGATTCGCGGCGACTCGACGACGGGCCCGGCGAAGGCTGAGGGGCTGCCTACCCTGGTAGAACAGGACAGCGGCGGCTGGGACACTTCGGAGGTGAAGAAGCAGCGCATGTTCGACGGCGTCGCGACCTTCGACGAGGCCATCGGCGCCTGAACGCGTCGTAGGTGAACCCGCACGCCGCGACCTTCGACGAGGCCGTCGGCAGCTGGGACGCGTCGAAAGTGATGGGCAAGCTCTTCGAAGGCGCGCAGTCCATCAGTGACGACATCTACGGCTAGGACAGGTCGCGGGCGACGACGAAGCGGCACGTGTTCAACGACGGCGCCACGACCTTCGACAAGGCCATCTGGGACGCGTCGAACTTCATCGTGAACGCCTAGAAGACGGAGCTCGGGAGCCAGCCGCACTACGACGCCATCAACGTCCCGGGCGCCTGGGACACGACCATGGGCAACCCGAACGTCGTCGTCGTCCAGGTCATCGACACGGGCATCGACATGGAGCACCCGGACCTCCTGAACAACATCTGAACAACATCTGGAAGAACCCCGGCGAGATCTGCGACAACGGCTACGTCGACGACGGCTACGGCTACAACCACGCCGACGACACGGACACGGACCTGCTCGGCAACCACCAGCACGACACGTACTGCGGCGGCACCATCGCCGCGGACAACAACAACGGCCTCGGCGTCGCCGGCGTCGCGGGCGGCGACGGCTC